TGTCTGTAATATTTTCACATCTGGGCTACCTATCAACAATGTGATATTTCCACAGCCAACCCATCTTATGCTTGTGTTACCACAGGGAATCCATCATACCTTTCCTTGATGAGCTGCACTTAGTTTTTTCCTCAATTGGATGAGCTGATTCTCTTCCTTAGGGTTGAGTTTTCCTAAGAATCTATGAATGTAATCATCATCAAGTTTGTAGCCTAGAACAAAACGAAAATATGGATTCACATCAGTTTTTCCTAATTTAAAGGTTTTGCAAATATTTGATAAGAAAATAAAGGTAGACAGTCAATAAATGAAAGTAAAGTAAATAAATGGATGTAATGAGAAAATGGATGGATGGATGAATGGAGAAAAAGATCGACCGGTGGACTAACAGACAGATGGACAGACATACAGACTCACAATTAAAGGACAGACAGATGAATGGATTGAAGGATGAATATTTAGACATGGTTCACAATGGTTGACTACATACTGCACAATAATCATTAGTAAGAAATATGCAAAACACTCAAAAATCTACATGTTGATTTTTCACAGAGAAAAACATATTTACATAGGTTACTGAGGTTTCAGATATTCTGTGAACTAAGACATTGCAACTGCTTGTTGTGATATTGTTTTTACTGCACCCCCAGTGGAAAACATAAAGAGTGGTCCACTGATTACTTTTGATTGACAGCAACAAAAAAAAGAATGAATTTCAGTGACATGCAACTTGTAACTGCCAAGTTTGCAGAATATTGAAAATCGCAGTAAAAAAGGAAGTACTTTTGTTCCGAAAGCTTGAAACACAAATTTAATTTAAAATACTGTGTTGATGAAATGAATTTTTAAGAGTAAGGAAGAAGTATTTGCTATTATTTTTATAATACTAACCAGGAAGTGTTGCAATTGCTGCCTCGTTACTCTCTACGGCTGAGCTGGCAATAGGAGGAAGAGCCTGTGCTTGTTCACCTTCTTGAGCTTGTCCAGCATTATCAAGAAGTAAGCTCCTTGTACGAGGCTTGCTAATTGCACCTGGGAATGGCGCAATGTATGCGACACCTTCACTTATCAGTTCATCAATGTAATGCTGGATAACTTCTTTGCCCTAAAGCAAAGTTGAAAATTGTTATTATTATTTGTTATTAAAATTAATGCATAGAACATCATTATTTATTCACTGAAAAGTATATTTGATTGGCTGGTATCACAATTTAATTATGTGCAATGACATTGGGTTCAATCTCTTGCCAAACTCAGGGGTGGATCCAGGGAGGGGCAAAGGGGTACTGTAGCCCCTCCCTTCAGAACTTTGGTTATGTTTCTTGAAGTGGAATAGAAAGCATTGATATTTTTTCCAAGTTCTGTAGTGTCATTCTCAAAATTTGGTCAAGCCCCTCTTCTAATTTTGACTGGATCCACCCCTGACACTAACTCTTATGCCTCTAATAGGCCCTTTGCATGTGACGTCAAAGCAGCTCAACTTGGAGGACAAACAAATTTCAATATCGAGAGAATTGAAAACCTATTGTTATGTCCTTCAAATTGAACTGGATTACAACATGCTTTATGGGGTCTATTACATTTTCAGTTATAGACGTTTATGTTTGACAGATGACCAAATTAATTGGTTATACAAATAACCGTCTCACTCCTTTGAGCACAGAGATGATGAGAATGGACATAGTGTGTTTATTAATGCTAGACTTTCACACTGGTTTGCTTTGTGCTAATAAAATTTTCTTGCCACCACTAATGCTTTTTTTAAGACAAAACATCTTCTAGATTTCAGGGTTGTGGTTAAGGTTGTGCTAGAAGCTATCATGACCCCCTAGTTTTCAATTCATTTGCTTGTAATCAGAAATGGAATTAGAGAGAGAGAGAGTAAACACATTTCTTCACCTTCTTAATGTTTTGCAGATACAATTTAATAGCAAGTTTTTCAACTGTTGCCTCAAAACCAAAAAATGATTTGATATCAAGGCTTGCATCTTGTTCAAAGCAGGTCCAATCAGGATTGTCTGGGTGTACCTGAAGGTAAACAATAAAGACATATAAGATAAATTAATTATACCACAGCTAAGATAACATCTGTTCAACAGAAAATAGACCCTTCGCAGTACATCGGAATCAAGCTCATTTTGGAGGACAACATAGGTTTCCAATTCTCAAGATTGAGATTGAAATTCTTCTGCTAATTAAGATGCTTTGATGTCACATGCAAGAGGGTCTATATTCAGTTAAAGTCAGTATTTGTCCAGCGAAATGCCTCTTTGGCCAGTCCTATCATTAACCAGTTACATTGACTGGCCACTGGTTGATCAGTCAGTTATCACTAGCCATCATGTTCAGAAATCAACTAGCTATTATTTTTAGCCCTGGAATACAAACAGTCTTGATAAACAAATGTCTTGGAAAATTGAAATTCTGAATATGTAGATTTTATTATTATTATTATTACTAATGTAGATTTTTTTATCATTATTACTATATATTTTATCTTTCTTTTATTTAGGAGACCTTACTACAGGGCTAACCTCGTGGTCTTCCTTTTCAAATTCTCTTTTTTTTATTTCTTTTCTTTTGAAATTGAATTGAATTTGAATAAAGTATTATTATTATTATTAATATCAATGAGACAAAATGGAATAAATTACAGAGCATCACTTCAAAACTTCCTTTTTACCATAGCAGTAGATCTCAGCAAAGCCTTTGATTCCATCAACCATAATTTGCTTATTGCAAAGCTTAAAGCCTACGGCTTTAACACAGATGCAATTCTTCTTATGAAAGCCTATCTCCTTGGTCGCC